ACTCCATTCTCTTCGATAAAATTCTTAAATAAGCGATTTTTATTTTAAGAGAATTGTCCATCGTGTGATTCTGTCAACACAATATCTTCGCTAAATTTATCCGGCGATGTGTATAATGCGCACATGAAAAAAGTACATTTATTATTTAAAAAGTCAAAATAAAATCAATAATGATAAACAAAATAATATATCAAGCAGTTGGGAAACCTATTATTATAATAAATGTTTAATAAATTTGATCCCATTAGCGAGCATCAAGCATAAGACGTCATAGAGAAAAGGCTTCAGTAACTAGTTGTTAAAATTTTATAAAATTAATAAATAAAATATATTATTAATATAACAGCGTTTGAGATCACAGACACCTTGGTGCGTAGAATAATTAAATAATGTAGAGAACACTATACTGTAATTAGGCAGAAAGTATCAAGGTCGTTATTTCAAAATTATTAATATCTTCCCTAGCGAGTATCTACATATGAAGAGGATTTCACGCAATGAATAATATTTGCACATAATTTATAAAGGAAAAGTATTAAAATCGTACTTAATATATTTGATTCAAACATATAGGTTCTTACAAGAAATATATTGTATTATTTTTTAAATATAGCAATAAAATGGTAATCTTTTGGATTTTTATGGTTGTTAAGTCTTACATTTCAGAATGATCGTGTAATTATTTAAAGAATCATTTCTTAACTTGATGCCGGTATGATGATCAGTACTCGATGAAGGTATAACTATTCAATCTTTATATTTTCGAGTATTCAGATAGAAGTTGTTCCCAAAATTGCTCTCACAGAGAACCGAAAAAGTTTCGTTACTAAAATTTACCAATATATGGTATTATATTGAAATATATTGAAAGCATTCCCGTCTAAATGGATCGCTATACCCTAATTTTTTCCCAATAAAATATGCTTTATATGAGAAATAGAAGTAGTGAAAACCAAATTTCATAATTAAAACAAATATTTTAGCTGGCGTGTAATGTATTTCAGGTTTAAAATATTCGCGGGTTAGTACAAAATAAGACTAGGACGTGACGAGTTCCGATAAGTTCATTGTTATTAGTAAATACCACCGAGTGTTTTCGTATCTGTGTTATGTTACGACCTCTTCGTATTTATAGTATGTAGATGATTTACTTTAGGTGTAATAGTTGATACCAGAGACGTTATATCTTAGTTTTATTAGCCTTGGAATTTCTAGTCTTGATCCTAAACGGATTTGTTAAATATTTTAGTTGGCATGTGATATATTTTATGTTCAAAATATTCACGGGTTTGTACAAAATAAGACAAGGACGTGACGAGTTCCGATAAGTTCATTGTTATTAGTAAACAACATCGAGTGTTGTCGTATCTGTGTCACGACTTCTCCAGAGACTTCATATCTTAGTTTTATTAGTCTTGGGACTTCTAGTGTTGATGTTAAACGTATTTGTTAAATAAATTCGTCTTTTTCTTGACACAAACTGGGTCCTCACTGAGTTTTCTTACCCTCGCATAAACAGTTATACTGCCTTATTTCAAGATCATCCGTAGTTTCGGTTGACTCATTATCGCATGCATGTGATCGGTTTATGCACATGTCATGTGGGTTTCCTTCTAATACTGGAGTCCTAATATTGCATTCCAGATTTCGAACCAACTGTTGTACCATACCATTTCTTGGAAGGCTTTCATCAGAGTGACTGTGCAACAAACTTTTTATTTTATTTCGCGTCTCCTTGAAATCAAATTCTCGAGGAAAAGTGATTTCACCTGAATGAAAAAGTTTTATATATTACTTTGATTTGAATTATTAAGATGATATGCTTTATAAACATTTATATTCTTTTATTGGAAACTTACTGTTGTTAATGGAACTGAAATGGGCACGCATGTGTGTAACCTTGCCAGGTTTTAATGCTAACAGATCAGGTTTAACTGAATGGACCACTGGATTTGAATTTGCCGCCATTTTTTCCAAATTGACAAACTTTTGTCTTGTTTTTATAACGTGGCCATTAGTTGAGGGGCAATCAAAGGACTGTTTTCCGCCAATATTTCTGCCTACAAAAAACGGTAGATTTTGATTCTCTGCAGATTCATTAATTTCGTTATCGTCATAGGTGACGTGAAGACTCATTTCCGTACGTTTGTTTTGAATATTAAAATTTTAAAAATGACTGTAGATTTTGGGGACTTCCGTTTTTAATTTTTGTGCGAAATCCCAAATTTTTCAATAACATAAGATTTTTAGTACATTACATAGACCAGCTGAATTTTGAAGTTGTGTAGAGTCGAAAAAATATATTATGATTTCAGTAAAAACTTAATTCACAAGTAAACAAAAATGTTTCTGACATTTAACTGAAAGCTGAATACTGAGTTATATTTTTTGACAGCAAAAATTTGTTAAATCTTTTTTTATAAAAAATAAAATTTTACTACATTACCGTATTTCTCGTACTTCGATTTCTGTTTTATTATGTGGCCGTAATTCAATGGAGGCTTCGATTTAAACTCCCATAAAACTCCCATAATCCAAAGTGAAGTAATGGAAATTAGTTAGTCACATATAGAGTTTGGTGCAGTTCGACCCATCATTTGTTTCGTATTTTATACATCAGCTACTATACATTTTATACAGCTAATATTCTTACGAATTAAACTTACCGGAAAGAGAAATCAAAAACAATTTCTGCACAGCCAATGCAAAATCTCTGCGTATGTGTAGAATGGCCTAGTGTGTGTAGAAATAAAATCGCTTGAGTTGAGAAGTCCTCTTGTATTTAATGTTCTTGATATAACAAAGCTAAATACACGATGTGAGTCCTTGATAAATATACGCGAGATGTCACTTGTTCGATTTTTGTTCGCTTTGCTGCGAAATATATTTACTAGACCAAGTGAAAGACCTGCTGTTGATCAGCAGGCCGATTCCACTAATGACTATTGCTAAAACTCCATTCTCTTCGATAAAATTCTTAAATAAGCGATTTTTATTTTAAGAGAATTGTCCATCGTGTGATTCTGCCAACACAATATCTTCGCTAAATTTATCCGGCGATGTGTATAATGCTGAAATTTATTGAAATGTCAAAATAAAATCAAAAATGTAAACAAATATCAGCTGTTGGAATCATAATTTAAATTTGACATTTAGGAGCAGATACTGCGTCAAAAAAGTGTTCAGCTATTTGAAATTTAAATTAAAATAAAATTAATATAACATTGGTGCGTAGATTAATTAAATAATGGACTATTTGATAAGAAAGCGATTTTTTTTCTGCTCATATGAGAGATTCACGAAATATTTGCACATATTTAATAAGGGAAAAGTTATTAAATCGTACTTAATATATTTGATTCAACATATAGTTCTTACAGAAATATATTATTATTTTTAAATATAGATTTGGTTTAGTTTACATTCAGAATGTCGTGTAATTGCCAATCATTTCTTAACTTGATGCCGGTATGATGATCAGTACTCGATGAAGGTATAACTATTCAATCTTTATATTTTCGAGTATTCAGATAGAAGTTGTTCCCAAAATTGCTCTCACAGAGAACCGAAAAAGTTTCGTTACTAAAATTTACCAATATATGGTATTATATTGAAATATATTGAAAGCATTCCCGTCTAAATGGATCGCTATACCCTAATTTTTTCCCAATAAAATATGCTTTATATGAGAAATAGAAGTAGTGAAAACCAAATTTCATAATTAAAACAAATATTTTAGCTGGCGTGTAATGTATTTCAGGTTTAAAATATTCGCGGGTTAGTACAAAATAAGACTAGGACGTGACGAGTTCCGATAAGTTCATTGTTATTAGTAAATACCACCGAGTGTTTTCGTATCTGTGTTATGTTACGACCTCTTCGTATTTATAGTATGTAGATGATTTACTTTAGGTGTAATAGTTGATACCAGAGACGTTATATCTTAGTTTTATTAGCCTTGGAATTTCTAGTCTTGATCCTAAACGGATTTGTTAAATATTTTAGTTGGCATGTGATATATTTTATGTTCAAAATATTCACGGGTTTGTACAAAATAAGACAAGGACGTGACGAGTTCCGATAAGTTCATTGTTATTAGTAAACAACATCGAGTGTTGTCGTATCTGTGTCACGACTTCTCCAGAGACTTCATATCTTAGTTTTATTAGTCTTGGGACTTCTAGTGTTGATGTTAAACGTATTTGTTAAATAAATTCGTCTTTTTCTTGACACAAACTGGGTCCTCACTGAGTTTTCTTACCCTCGCATAAACAGTTATACTGCCTTATTTCAAGATCATCCGTAGTTTCGGTTGACTCATTATCGCATGCATGTGATCGGTTTATGCACATGTCATGTGGGTTTCCTTCTAATACTGGAGTCCTAATATTGCATTCCAGATTTCGAACCAACTGTTGTACCATACCATTTCTTGGAAGGCTTTCATCAGAGTGACTGTGCAACAAACTTTTTATTTTATTTCGCGTCTCCTTGAAATCAAATTCTCGAGGAAAAGTGATTTCACCTGAATGAAAAAGTTTTATATATTACTTTGATTTGAATTATTAAGATGATATGCTTTATAAACATTTATATTCTTTTATTGGAAACTTACTGTTGTTAATGGAACTGAAATGGGCACGCATGTGTGTAACCTTGCCAGGTTTTAATGCTAACAGATCAGGTTTAACTGAATGGACCACTGGATTTGAATTTGCCGCCATTTTTTCCAAATTGACAAACTTTTGTCTTGTTTTTATAACGTGGCCATTAGTTGAGGGGCAATCAAAGGACTGTTTTCCGCCAATATTTCTGCCTACAAAAAACGGTAGATTTTGATTCTCTGCAGATTCATTAATTTCGTTATCGTCATAGGTGACGTGAAGACTCATTTCCGTACGTTTGTTTTGAATATTAAAATTTTAAAAATGACTGTAGATTTTGGGGACTTCCGTTTTTAATTTTTGTGCGAAATCCCAAATTTTTCAATAACATAAGATTTTTAGTACATTACATAGACCAGCTGAATTTTGAAGTTGTGTAGAGTCGAAAAAATATATTATGATTTCAGTAAAAACTTAATTCACAAGTAAACAAAAATGTTTCTGACATTTAACTGAAAGCTGAATACTGAGTTATATTTTTTGACAGCAAAAATTTGTTAAATCTTTTTTTATAAAAAATAAAATTTTACTACATTACCGTATTTCTCGTACTTCGATTTCTGTTTTATTATGTGGCCGTAATTCAATGGAGGCTTCGATTTAAACTCCCATAAAACTCCCATAATCCAAAGTGAAGTAATGGAAATTAGTTAGTCACATATAGAGTTTGGTGCAGTTCGACCCATCATTTGTTTCGTATTTTATACATCAGCTACTATACATTTTATACAGCTAATATTCTTACGAATTAAACTTACCGGAAAGAGAAATCAAAAACAATTTCTGCACAGCCAATGCAAAATCTCTGCGTATGTGTAGAATGGCCTAGTGTGTGTAGAAATAAAATCGCTTGAGTTGAGAAG